GGGGGGGGTGTCTGAAAATCATAGCCCAGAGAGCAACGCTCCCCACAACCTCTGCCAAAGATACCGTAGGTGGGCTTCCTCAATGCCCATCAAGACTCATCAAGGATAGAGGCAGGAAAACTGGAAAAGTGTTTGCTTCCCATTTTAAACACTGACAAAAATAAAATCTCTCTTTTCCCCCTTATACATGACCTCATTTTCAAGGTTAATTCCAAGGACTTGTACCAGCCATGTAGAAAAATGACCACCATGGATTCACAGCTCCACCGGTTGTGTGAACAGCTTGTTGGCTGATCATAGGCCACACAAAGAGACAGAAAAGCTAGGGCCAAACTTTCCAAAGAAAGAAAGCATTTGGTTGTTGTAGGCTTTTCAGGCCGTTTGGCCATTCAGAAAACGGCCAAGCAACCCGAAAAACCTACAACAACCATCGGATCCCGGCCATGAAAGCCTTCGAGAATAGAAAGAAAGCATTTCATTGCCCTTTCCAAATCTTGAATTGTAACCTATATCTAGTCTTTTTCTTCTTTTTTCTTAAGTCCCCCTGCCACCTCTTATTTTCATCATCTAGTTTCACAAAGGGCAATCTTCATGCACAAAGGTAGGGCCCTCAATGCAATACACACAGGTATTAAAAAACTACTTACAGAATAAGTTAACATCATTAAAAAGAAAGATAAAGCAGTGCAATGAGTAAAACTGTCTTGTAAGGCAAACTGGAGGGATGATTCTTTACAACAGAAAATGCCACGTGACTCAAAAGAACACAATATTATAAAGGGACACATTACTGACCTCATTATTTTACATAGCATCTTTAACACTCATCATTTTGTCATGAGTACAGCCGGGGAAGACACAGACATACAGCTTTGTATTCAACTATTATTCTTTGTACCACATAATATTCCTTTCTCCTGAAGTTTTATTTTTGGTATTTGCTTGCTAAAGGTCTTGTCATGATTGACATGAACGGAAGACTGCCCAGAGCCATATCCCTGGAGGAGGAAGATCTCTGTCCCGCTTTTCTCAACCAGCCATCCTCCAGATCTACTAAACTACAAGTCCTATCTTCCCCTGCCTGCAAAAGTGGAGGTACACCCGGCTGGAGAAGGCTGAATTGTAGACAGTTCTTTCCAACTAGTTTGCCAGGTGTTTAAACTCTTCTGAGGACACACACGTTAAAATCAATTCCAGAATGTGTCCTCCTTTGTTCATATGGTTTAACTGCTCCCATGATGCATGCATGCCATCCCATTTGGCAAGCAAAAGACTGACACATGCCAGAGATATGACGTGCCAAACATAAATCCCCTGCTACCTTGTTGTCCATTTGACACAAAAGGAGAAAGAGATGCATCTGTCTGCCCAACAGGTTCCTTTAAAACTCAGGACACGACAGCCGTCTTGACATGAAAAACAATTCCTCTGTAATAATCGGGGAACAACTCTTAGACCAGTTCCCACAAATCATCTCAACTTTAGGCCATTCATTTAACGCTTACCAACCTAGACTCTAATTTAGCCTCTACACAAAACACTGCTCTGTAGGAACGTCAAGTGGCAGATGCATCAGCACGGAGGGAAAAATCAGTTTTAAAACAACTCTGCAGAAAACCGATCTGTACAACACAGGGCAGTTGCATGGAGCTGTGCCCCCCCCAGGGTTTGCCAACTCAACGCCCATGGAGTGTGATTCCTGCACAAGCTTCTACATGACTCCAAGATTCGTCTTGGCTTTGGACAAGTTCATAGGGTACCATCCCATCTTTTCAGTCTCCCCAGCGGTGCTTGTTCCTGTGGTGGAAATGTAGCTTTGAACGGCTCGTTTCCCTTCAAAAACCATATATATTCAAACCCTCCTGGTCAAACAGGTATTTCTGAGAGCTTGTGGATTAATTTAATTCTATTATAACACACTCTGAATTGCTGACATGCTTTAAATTTATCTTTGCAATGATGCTGCTATATTTGGTACTCACTAATGCCTTGATGGTTTTAAGTTTTTCTTCAGTGAAAAAGAGGTGGGGAAACAGATCCTTACTTATCAATGTTATCAAGACTGAAGTCCACATTTTCAAGTTGCACTGTGTTTCAGTCTTCACACTTGTGGCTCTAAAGAACACCTTCCAGACAGTATTACATTCAGAATTTAACTGGATGGAATTGGGGACAAATTGTGTGTGGAGTTAGTTGGTTTTTTTGTCATGCATCTTTGAGATTTACTTTTCTGAGAGGCTAGCTTATAAATTCTCCCCCAAATAGCTGCATTTTCCTAACAGATTCGACAGACAACTCATTCAAATAAAAACTTGTAAAATGAAAAGCTGAAAAACTGATTTATAAGTGTTGTTTACAGGAAGGGGAGATAAATCATGGAGGGCTGCAAAGACAAGTTGACTGTAAAATTAAGAGCCAGTATTAGCATACTAAGCTAAATGGATTCTGGAGACTTAAACCATGATTCCTGGCAATGTCCCCCCCCCCACAAAAAGCAAGAACAGAACTGCTTACTGCAAGTTCAGAATAGGCAACTCAGCACAGGAAACAGGAGGCCTATACTCATAGCAAATCTGGCACTGCCCGATTCATTTCACAAAATCCAGTGTCATCAGATAGTTGCAAGAGCTGTCAATGGGGGGAAAAAAGACTTCTAAGCATAACACTGGATGGGAGTGGCCAGCTAACATATTCAGCAGAATTAATAGATAACTTTTTTTCTGGACTGTTCCACTTGAGGCTGCAGAAGACTATATTTGCATGTTTTCCCCACGAAAATAGGTTGCAAGTTTTTTTTAAAGGAAAGACTAGCCCAAATCTCCATCTCATTTTCTCACTTGCTGATTTCCACTGAATTACATGTCAAAGAGGATGCATATAAACGTGTACCAGCATTCTCCACATGAAAACTGAAAGCCAGAAAAATCTTTATCCTTCAGTCTTGCTGGAGTTGTATAAACTAGCTCTAAAACAAGGGGGGGGGGAGAGACAACATTAAAGACTTTTCTGCATGTGGCTCCATTACTATTCTGATAGGAATTATAAAATATCAAAGTAAGCTTGTGTATTGTTTCCAGACGTAGCAACAAAATCCATCAGTGGGAAAGTCCATACCATAAGCAGTCCAATCAGCAATTATGGGGCCACATTTTAACTTGGGGGAGTGTTCAAAAAACCGAAAGGAGGAGCAACATTTCAAGTCTCAAAACACCCTGGTCTGGACAGTTTTCCAACACTGTTCTGGACAGGGGTTCCCTGCAGAACTTCAGATGCCACCTGAGGTGTGTGCCCCTCAGGCCGATCAGCTTGCTTTTTGTGGGTAGGATGCAGATGCTGGCCAGTCATACAGATCCGGTAGAAAGGAGTCATACTCGTAGTTCCAGATCTTTGATCGTATATATTGGTTCTTGTCTGCAGGCTCAGGGTAATGGAACGCCATGTGGTTGGCATATAAAAATTCCATAACCTGGACAGAAGGAGAGAAAACAGATCAAATGACTTCTCTACAGTAGACTTGCCCAACCTGGGGTCCTCCAGCCACGTTGGGCTACCACTTCCATTATCCCCAGGCAGGACACCCAATGGCCTCCACATCTGGAGAACATTAGGTTGGGAGGGGCTCTGGCAAGATGAGCCCCAGGGTCTATGCAGAGCTGTATTTCCAGGAGTGCCCAAGCCAAAAAGCTTCTAGAAATTCATAAGGTGGGCATGAGAACCAAGCTTGTCCTCAGCATCTAGTGCCCAGAAATAAAATGCCATCGTACAAAGAGGTTTTCATGGAGTGACCACCACAACTGTAAAACTCTTGTTCAGACAGCTAGAGAGGACTGTTTGTGCTCATTCCATGTAAGCATATCCAATTAATCAAATGTCAGGATGTCTTTCTTCATCCCAAATTACATATTCTCTTGCTTCGTGGAGAAGAGCCTCATGGCCAGGTCGTTAAAATGCAGTCCTGCAACCAAAACTCTGCTCACGACCCAGGGTTTAATCCCAAGTACAGTGGTGCCTCACTTAACGATTACCTCGTTAAACGATGAAACTGATTGATGATGAAGTTTTTGCAATCACTTTTGCGATCGCAAAACAATGTTCTAATAGGGAAAAATTGCTTAACGATGATCAGTTCCCTGCTTCAGGAACCGATTTTTTGCTAGACGATGATTTTAAAACAGCTGATTGGCGGTTCTAAAATGGCCGCCCACTGTGCAAAATGGCTCCCCACTGTGATTTAGGACAGATTCTTCGCTTTACAGGCACTGAAAATGGCCGCCCCTATGGAGTATCTTCGCTGGACGCTGAGGTATTTAGTCAACTGGAACGCATTGAAGGGTTTTCAATGCGTTTCAATTGGCTTTTTCATTTCACTTGACGAGGATTTCGCTTAACAGCGATTTCAATGGAACGAATTATCCTCATCAAGCGAGGCACCACTGTAGCTGGCCTGAAGTTCACTCTGCCTTCCATCCTTCTGAGGTTGGTAAACTGAGGACCCAGCTTGTTTGGGGGGGGGGGGTGGGTAGCCTGCATTAATTAAATTCTTAAACCGCCCAGAGAGTGCTTTGAGAGCTATGGCGCGGTATACAAGCCACAGACTTTGCTTTGCTTTTTGCTTCTCCCGACTCCCCCTCTGAAATGCACACTTACTTTAACAGCGATATTAATGGAAACTTCTCTGATGTTGGAGAGTGCAGGATAAAGCCGTCCCTCAGCAAGCTCTCCCTCACTCAGCTGTTCTGTCAAAGCCTTTTAACACAAGAGAAAAGAAAGCCACGTTACTCAGCAATAAACCAAATATATTCAGCAATACAGGACAAAGAGCCAAGTTACAGCTACATGCAATGTTAGCTCCACAGACGCTTCCTGTCTGTAACTGAGAACATTTTAAGGTAGGGAAGAGCATAAAGGGAAATTTCATGGGAAAAGGGACGGGAGGTTTAGCATCTTCCTGATTCACTCCTATAAACCACCCTCTCCTTGGGATTCCTCTTTAGAGTGGTAGCTGATCTTATTATTCTTCATAGCTGCATGGTAAGTGGCTCCAAGCATTTATGAAGCCACAATGCTAAAAAAAACAACCTGTAATGCATATGATAAAGTGTCTGTCAAATAGGCTTCCAATTCATTCTCCCTGTGCCGACTGATAGATCAAATCTAGATTTTACAGATGGGTTTATCTGCAACAAGATGACCACAAGCAAACATTTTTGCTGGCAAAGGGTGTTATGCAATTCACTATGACATAACAGACGTTTCAAACATCCAAGCTTCCACTGGGTAACATGTAATTACATAACACCTCTGTCACAAAGTTAATTGGATCTTGGGAGTCTAGCACAGGCTTCTTCTTCCAGATGCTTGAATTATAACTCCCCTAATCCCATCTAACATGGCCAAGGGACAGCGGCGGTTCAAACGGTGGTCAAGAACACCGAGCAGATCATAGGCCAAGAAACACTTGCCCAGCACATTCAACAATTTAAATCTCTTAACCCCCTGGGAATATCCCAGCATGAAGAGGACTTGCACCATAGTATTCAGTGTTCATATATATATTTTTAAAAACTGAATCCTGTGCTTTTTTGTTTCAAAGGCACACTTGGTGGGGGAAAAAAAATGAATATTTAGGACTATGTCACAAGAGGCTTCAGATACCTGCTGTTTTATGTGCTTTCCCCCATCCCTTCCAGTAATACTTAGGGAAGAATATAAAGCTGCAGGACTTGCACCATAGTATTCAGTGTTCATATATATATTTTTAAAAACTGAATCCTGTGCTTTTTTGTTTCAAAGGCACACTTGGTGGGGGAAAAAAAATGAATATTTAGGACTATGTCACAAGAGGCTTCAGATACCTGCTGTTTTATGTGCTTTCCCCCATCCCTTCCAGTAACACTTAGGGAAGAATATAAAGCTGCAGATGATCACTGCAGATGGTGACAGCAGTCATGAAATTAAAAGACGCCTGCTTCTTGGGAGAAAGGATCTCACCACACCTTCACACATAAATGTACGCTTGGCTGCCAATGGTGAAGGCGTAAAAACTGAACATGTCTTATGTTACATTACTGTGTAGTTTGGCTAACAATTCCTAAACCAACCCAATTATAAATACTCCTCATTAAGAATCCCACCACAATGAATAAATGGGTTCTCATTCAAATCAAGTCTAAAATCTCAATAGAAGCTAAAATGAGTAAAACTGGGGCTGTTGTACTTTGCACACATCCAAGACAACTAGATTTACTGAAGAAGACAATCATGCTAGAAAATGTGGAAGGCAACAGGAAAATGTAACATGAGATGGGTTGACCCAAGATGGTACAGCATTTAACTTGCAAGACCTGTGGGGCTGTTACTAAAAGGACTTTTTCAAAGTCATAAATCCATACGGTTCCCATTAGTTTGAAGCATCTTGCTGGTCCACAGCAACAATCAAGAACCAAATTAGTATTGATTTTATTTACCATTTTTAATATGATGCCGTATTTGTTTAATTCTTTTTAAAAATATTTCTACTGTTTTTCGCTTTGTACATTGTCTTTTTAATGACGTGAGCCGCCTTGGGTCCAATTCAAGGAGAAAGGCAGGGTAAAACTATTTTAAATAAATAAATTGCCCACTCAGTCTCATAAGCAATCAAAACGCATTAGCCAGTTTGGAACCTAAATTCAGGGTCACATCACACACGAAAGGAAATGTGTGTTTCTTGCTATGAAAACAGTTTCCTTCCAGGCAAAGTGCAATCAGATATGCAAATAAATCTCATATTTACCTCCCAGTGACCAATGACATACACACACCAAAAAGCAAGCTAATTTGCAAAATGCAGAGGGAGACAAACCTGGACTAAGATAATCAAAAATATTTCCTCCTTTCAGGGAACTCTACCTCTAAAAACCAAACTATATTGTCCAGTGTGGGCCTCAGTCCTCTCAACCTGAACCCCAACCCCACAAGCAATAGCTACAATATACGCTTCACCTCACTCACTAAACATTTCATTCTGCCACCTACCTTTGCAGCCTCCAAGAAGACTTTGTCACTAATGTGTCGAACGCCGCTGAGAACCACCGCAAGAGCAACACCTGAAAGGCAGAGGCTTATACATCATTTTGCAAAAACATTTTGTGTATTGGTCTGAGGAGGCGGGGGTTAGATTTAAATGAGCGCAAGCAGAAGCTCCAAGCCCTTTTCCTGAAGGGGAAGCTGAGGCAAGAGGTAAACTCTGTTTTGGGAGCACATTTTATCTGTGGAGGTATTTTTTCTAGGCTGACCTTTGACTGCATGGTCTGAGGAGGCGGGGGTTAGATTTAAATGAGCATGACAGAAGCAGCGCGCGAAATTCTCTGACGTCGCTGGAACCAGTTGTATTGTCTCTTGCCAAATTCCCCCTGGAGAGGGAGGATTTGCTGCTTGGGTAACAGCCTATTCTCCATATTATTTTACCCAGGCTTTGTGCTCTGAAGAAGACACTCCAGCTTTGCGTATAGTATAGAAACGACACGGGAAGTAGCAGCTACCGGTTATAAGTCTTTGCTCGACTGGCATAGAGCATGACACCAGGGGCTACTTCCCACGTTGGGAGAGGTCATTGCACCTCACTAGGTAGCTACTGCCCGCCTTAAGCTGGGCAATCCCCAGCCACTAACAGGGAACAGACTGTATTTGTCTTCAGTGTGAAAGGGATTGTCACTCTCGAACCGGCCTTTTCAGCCACACTAGACACTGTTCCAAGTCCTCTAGATAGAGCACGTGACCATAGTCTCTCAAGACTGAAAGATGCCTAACTAATTGATTTCAACATGTCAAACAGCAGAGTACGTTAAAAACAGTGTACTCCCCAAATTCAGTGGCACTAAGCTACCACCAGAAAATAGCAAGCAATACTTAAAAATGGTTGTTGTGGGTTTTTCGGGCTCTTTGGCCGTGTTCTGAAGGTTGTTCGTCCTAATGTTTCGCCAGTCTCTGTAGCCAGCATGTTCAGAGGACTACGCACAAAAGACCAGCTAATGACACCCATCAATCACAGTGACAGATAATCTCTCCTCCTTATCACAATACACCCACAACAGGACACACTAATCACCCATCTCCTGAAAAGAACAAAAGCCTATCTCACAGCCATAAATACTCAACTCCCAAGCAAACTACACCAGAGCACAGAGAGCTGTCCTCTGAAGATGCCGGCCACAGAGACTGGCGAAACGTTAGGAAGAACAACCTTCAGAACATGGCCAAGGAGACCGAAAAACCCACAACAACCATTAGGTCCCGGCCGTGAAAGCCTTCGCGAATACAATACTTAAAAATATAGCAGTCAAGTTATAACAAGAATGTAAGGATGACCTAATCTAACACCCTCTTTCCCCAGTAGCTGACCAGATGCTTCTGGAAATCCAGGAAGAGAGCATGGGAACAACATCTGTCTCCTACTTTCTTATTCCCCAGTAACTGGTAAAACAAGGAAGACAGAGCTTGGAAAAGTAACTTTATGGGAGTCTATTTATTTATTTATTGGACTAATATACTGCCCCATAGCGCTACAAGCACTCTCCGGGCGGTTTACAATTTTAATTATACAGGCTACACATTGCCCCCCCAGCAAGCTGGGTACTCATTTTACCGACCTCGGAAGGATGGAAGGCTGAGTCAACCTTGAGCCGGCTACCTGGGATTTGAACCCCAGGTCGTGAGCACAGGGTTTTTTTTTTTAGCTGCAGTACAGCGTTTTAACCACTGCGCCACGAGGCAACTTCTCCTAAAACCCTAGCTGCACGAGCTCACTCCAAAACTAACTTTCTAAGCCCTACCAAAAGGAAATTTGGAAGATGCATGTAGTCATCGGTGAAAAGCACCTGTTAATAGGCTTTCCCAATTTAAATCTGCCAAGCCTTTCTCACTGTTTAAAGAAGTCTCTGGCCCTTTGGATGTTTTTAGACTACCACTATCACAATCCTTTCTCACTGGCTATGCTGGGTGGGGTTGATGGGCCCACCAGGCAACACATTGGGAGGGTCAAATTTCCCCACATACCAAAGAGATCAAAATAACAACTACGGAAAAAAAAACCCTGTGGCTCAGGAGAACAAAGTAGGCAAGAAAGAAAGCCGGACTATGCGGCCTTTTGAAAGGACTGGGGATGTCTACAATTTTAAATGGTTTTTGAGCATCTCCCTTCAGAGGGAACTTTTATCTTGGACTGGGAATAGAACAAAATGGATGTTCCATTTGTGCAGCATATTCTTCTGTTTTGGTACCAAACATTTCCCATCCCTGCTCTAAGTCAGTGGTTCCCAACCTTGGGTAACCCAACGTGTTCTTGGACTGCAACTCCCAGAAATCTGGAACAGCACAGTTGGTGGTGAAGACTTCTGGGAATTGCAGTCCAAGAACACTTGGGTTACCCAAGGTTGGGAATCAGCGATCATGTTAATAGTCATCCTGCCTTTTCTTGCAGTGGCCTAAAAATGCAAGAATTCATTTTGATAAGATTCTATCAAGTTTTTAGCATTTGTGAGATCCACAGGGCATCCCTTCTCTGAAATAACTGCATTCATTCTTCTGGATTCTTGTGTTTTTGCATTTTCCCTGGAAATGCTCCAGAAAGTTGACACTGAAAACATTTTGGAAGGCCAAAGTTGCCCATTGGCCAAGATTCTACCGAGTTTTTACATTGTCTTAACTAAATTGGTGGATTTTTAACCAGTGAATTGCCACAAGTTGAGATGTCAGCATAGGCATTTGCTGTTTTGCACTGAGCCACATGATCCAGTGCACAATTCCTCCACCCCAGCAGACATAACAAAGAGAATCTGACCACTGTTATTACCCATCATAGGTGATCATGAATGAGACAGTAAAGAAATATAAAATATTTGATGCTGTTATTGGAGAAAGCATTTTTGTTCTCTATACCTGGCATCTCTGATTTTATTTGCTTACAATTATTTTCAAGTAGCTTTTAGTCAAATGAAAAAAAAGGCTTCTAAATTCTTAAATACCAACATGTTTTTCAACCCCATGGTTCTAAAGCGGTACTTAAACCCAGAAAGATGGCAGAATTTACCTGGAAAGATGTATGCATTGTTTCCCTGGCCTGGTCTAAACGATCGGCCATCGCTGAGCTTCACTGGCCCAAATGGACTCCCACTTGCAAACAGACAACGGCCCTGTGAAACAGGAAAAAAGAGGAAATGATACTTCTGGAACATAGTTCCGCAAGCGTTTCAAATCGGTTAGGGAACCACAAAATTGAGGAAACTGCAGAACAGTGTTCCACTGTGAGTGTGTGTATCTGACTGTCTACCCACTGGGTCTCCACTACACTTCCTTCCACGGGAAGAGGGGCTCAGACAGAAGAGCATACAAACCATGTAAGATCAGAATCCGTCCAACAGGCACACCTATGGGATATCCCTCTATAAGACACCAGTTTCCACATGTGGAGTCTAATTTGAAAAGGCCTGATTTAAATGTTGCAATAGCTGGATTAAAACTTGTGTTGTTCCACCCACTGAGAAAAGCAGTTGTGTGATGCATGCACGGAATGCAAGCCAGAATTTTGTTTAGCTTATGCATTCGTATCCAGAGTGCGTATCCAATACATGGATGCTGGGGACACTTAAAAGTAAAACAAATGTGCTGGGTGGGCAGGTAAGAACCTTCTTTCATCACACATCTGTGCACTCCTAGTTCGAAACTTATTAGAACCAATGCAAACAATACTTCTTATAGGAGAAGAATCATCCAATTTATGGTGACTCTGTTTGGATTATACGGATATAAGGGTTTCTAAGATGTGTGAGAAACTTAAGGAGTGTTTTTTTTACTATGGCTGCCTCCCAGTGAGTTTCCATGGCTTAATGGGGTTTGAAAGCAGGTCTCTTGAATCCTCGGAGACACTGCATCCACTACCCTGCCTCTCACGGGTCTGAGTATCAGAGAGGAAAAGGAGCACAGTATTCATAGCTCAGTGGTGTGGGCTTGGGCAACTTGCACATCCCAGGGTGCCTCGGAAAAAACAGGAACAGTAAACCAGTTCTGAGTATACTCTACTGGGAAAACCCTGAAAAGAGTGGCTAAGTCAGAACTGACTTGACAGCACATGGTTCTTATTATTATTCACGATTTCAAAGAAACAATCCTAAAGGATCTAAGGGAGCACCCAGGTTTATGAAATACCCTATTAAGGGGAGGACAGAAATTCTTTATTGCTTGATTTGAATGCCTAGCATCAGTAACTGCTATTCATGTATTTCATTATTCTTTATTTATTGCGACGTATATGGACACTATATGTATATAGTAAGTCAGAACTGACTTGACAGCACATGGTACTTATTATTATTCACGATTATTCTTTATTTATTGCGACATATATGGACACTATATGTATATAGTGGGATGTGGTGGTGCTGTGGGTTAAACCGCAAGGTCAGAAGACCAGCCGTCGTAAGATCGAATCCACGCGACGGAGTGAGCTCCTGTCGCTTGTCCCAGCTCCTGCCAACCTAGCAGTTCAAAAGCATGTAAAAATGCAAGTCGATAAATAGGTACCACCTCGGTGGGAAGGTAATGGCGTTCCGTGTCTAGTCGCGCTGGCCACATGACCACGGAAACTGTCTACGGACAAATGCTGGCTCTATGGCTTGGAAACGGGGATGAGCACCACGCCCTAGAGATGGACACAACTGGACTGAATGTCAAGGGGAACCTTTATCTTTACCTTATATGGATACACAGAATAGACCCGCTATCTTACAATTCAGTCCTACATTAGCAAATACGCAGTTTAACATTTTCAAATGGACAACACTAAGAGGGTTCCACTGACTACATAGTCTTACAATAAAAAGGGTAACATTATTTATTCCAGGACTTAGCATTTCTAATGCTAAGGCATTAGAAATGGCTCAAGCAAGGGAGCCATTTTGCACACAACATGATGGCCAGCAGCATTTTATAAATTCGTTACTTGCCTCTGTTAACGCGTATGCTTCCTCAGCAGTGCACTCTGCTTTTCCGGTAGGATTGCTCAGTGCAAATATGATTGGTCTCTCATTAAGAGAACCCATTGTTTTGATCACATCAGGAGAAAAGAGTCGGCCAGCACCTGCAACACCTGGAAATAGAATGTGCAAAATAAAATAATTGCATTTTTAAAAGAGCTGAATAAATGAAGTTTCATATAGAACAAATATATTTTGTAATATATTATAATTTATCATTTGGCGACACATGGAATTGTGGACAGATCCTAAGTTGCACGGTATAGCACTGAGAATCGATCATGCATGTGAAGTTCCACTTCCTTTTAAAATGGGACAAATGTGAAAACAGTAGCACTTTAGTAGAATTGGCATTGCACAAACAGTCTGGTAACAGATCTCACATTTAGCATTCCCCAAGTATCAGCAATACATTCAGCTCTTGCAGGACAGATGTTACTGGATGGCTTGCTACAGGATTCTACCACACCCATAAGACATTAAAAGCACTGGCCAAGATCCTATTAAATTACACCTTCTTCTTATCTGGTGTCACCTCAGCACCAAGATTTACGACAATGGTGCATAAAAAAACTTGAAAAGATTTTAGTCAGTATGCTAAAATTCATGCAGCAGCAGAATCAGGTTTATAATGTGGTACACAAGGAGATCAAAATACTCACCAATGATGGCAGAAGGTTGAAGCACATTCACTGCATCCAAGAAGCTTTTGGGCAGTTGCTCTGGAGGTGGGTGAGTGAAAGGCTCTTGGTTGACATCTACTGTTTGTTCCCGACCCTAAAGAATTGTGACAGATGGTCAAAGTATCTGGAGGACAATGGATTCAGAATGACTGAACTATATCCGTGGTTCCCAATGATGGACCTCCAAATGTTCTTAGACTACAACCAACAGAAATCCTGGCCAACACAGTTAATGGTGACGGCTTCTGGGAGTTTTAGTCCAAGAAGATCAGGGAATCCAAGGTTGGGAACCACTGGACCAGACTATGCCCTTCCAAACCTCAGTAGAGCCTCACCTGAACCAACAAGCCAAATTTGTCAAACATCCATATTTTCTTATAAGCGTCTTCTGTAGAAAGGCCATTTTCCACCATAGCCATAACGATGAGATTGGCTATTCCAAGGGCAGCCTGGAAGATAAAAGAAACATGTAGTTCTGTAGAACAGTCAAACAACCACCTTTTAATCAGCTGATCAAATTGTTTTCAAGCTGAGTTCTAGGGAATACCAAGACTGCTTTAATGAGAAGGTAAATAATGATGGTGACATCTGAGTGTTCAGCCTGGAGGCAGGCGGTGCATCACAGCCTCTCCCAGTTTGAAGAGACCCTTGTCCAGCAGGCCGAGGCAAAGAGGCAGTCATGAAAGTAGCAAAATCAGGGAGCTGGACAGGGGTACAGATTGTATTTGTCTTCAGTGTGGAAGGGACTGTCACTCTCGAACTGACCTTCTCAGTCACACTAGACGCTGTTCCAAGTCCTCTATTCAGAGCATGTTACCATAGCCTCTCGAGACTGAAGGATGCCTAATCCAAAACAATGCTGGATACATTTCCCTGAAGGATGTGAGTTTAGAGACATCTTTTTCTACCACAGCCAGAATCCCCCAGGCAGCATGGTACATGCTCCATAAAGCATTAAACATGGGCTCAAACATGGAGGATAGCAGCAGCCAAGGTGACACAGAATGGGGAGCCTGTGGCCCTCACATCCTCTTTTGTGGCTTCCTGGTTTGCTGCTCTCGCGAGGAAGATACTGCAACAGATCAGCCTGAGGTGGCAGGGCTTCCCTTATGTTCTCATAGCACCACCATCCTCACTTTGCACTGAACACCCAAGAACATCAGCATTACCATGAGAAAACTGTCAATGCCCACCTCCTTGTGTAGCAAGAGAGGACGCCAATCATCCATCCACCCAGTGTTGCTTGACCTAAATAAATAATGGCTGTGTGATGCCTTAGACATCAAGAGGTCTCCCTCCTCATCCTGCACCTCAGATATTCTTAACTGGATGTGCAAACTAGACCTTTAGGCATGCAGAGCCCATAGTCTGCCTTTCAACTGGATGCTCTGTCTTCCAATGGACCAGGCTAAACAGGACGACTCAGGATGCTTTGCTAGAGAACGCCCCAAATAATCTAGCAACTGACACTCTCCAGGTGATTAAGCAGAAGCTGGCTCTCCCTCATTCATGCCAGAGCTGCCATATGCAACTTCTCCTGCTGCAGGACTTGGTCACCTTGCTTTGGAATGCAGTTCTTCCAAAATGTCTGACGTCTGTACAAAAACAGGTGCCACTATGTATACAAAGCCTTTTGGACTCTTTGACCAAAAGGGTGGCCAATTCATAGGAGGAACACATCCCCTCCACTGCCTTTTCGTACCCACCCCTGCCAAAAACTCCGTTAATAGTATTGTAGGGGGAGCACTAGCTTTGTTTTAAAGAAGAATCCTATTTCTAGAGGTGCCAGTGGTGGCAAATCTGCTTTAAGACAAAGCACAGGTTTTCCATGTCCAAAAGAAAGGCACAGGTATTTTAACTACTACTGCTCTGTGCAGCAGCGTCAGAGTGCGGTTCCCACTGCAGGAGGAGAATCCAGCGCTGCCCCCTGTTCCCAGGAAATTGTCCATTCCACATCTTACTGCATTTCTTCTTTCCAACAGAAGTGTGCAAGGCTCTCCACCAACTACATCCATTTAAAACTTGAGAGACAGCACTCTTTTTCAATTGCCCAACTCACCTCTCCTGCACCAAGGAACAAGATCTGGTGCTCTGTGAGTGGTTTGCCAGTAACCTTCTGGGCTGCCAATAAGCCGGCTAAAGCCACTGAAGCTGTTCCTAGGGAAGGAAACAAATGACTGTGACATGGGATGAAAAGAGATTCATGGAAACAGCCAGCCAGCAAAACAAAAAACTAAATGGGTTTGCAGGCATGGATGAAATGCAGCCCCCTGTATCATAGAATCATGGAATAATTGAGTTGGAAGGGGCTTGTAAGACCATCAAGTCCAACCCCCTGCTCAATGCAGGAATCCAATCAAAGCAGATCTGACAGAGAGTTGTCCAATTTTCTCTTGAATGCTTTCAGCATTGGAGCGCTTATCATCTCCTGAAGTAATCGGTTCCATTGTCGCACTGCTCTAACAGTTAAGAAGTTTTCCTGACATTCAGCCTAAATCTAGCTTCCTTTAACTTGAGCCCATTGTTGCACGTCCTGCACTCTGGGATGATCAAGAACAGATCTTGCCCCTCCTCTGTATGGCAGCCTTTCAAATATTTGAAAAATGCTGTATCGCCCCTCAGTATTCTTTCCTCAAAGCTAAAAAGGCCCAGCTCTTTCAGTCTTTCCTCCTAGGGCTTGGTTTCCAGTGCCCTGATCATCCTTGTTACCCTTCTCTGAACTTGCTCCAGTTCGTCGCCATCCGTTTTAAAGTGTAAAGTCCAGAACTATCCCTCCCCCCCAAAAAAAATTTGCTCCCCACAATGCAAACTTCTCCCTTCCCAGAGGCTACTGGGAACATGACTTTCATTGGTGGAGAACACATTTTCAAGATGCTTTAGGTCTTGGTAGCTGAAGCAGGCATAAAACTACCCTCCAAAGTCTGGGGAGGGACATATCTGCCCAGCTATGTGGCAGAAGCCCAAAGGGGGACTCTTACCCTGTATATCATCATTGAAGGTGCAATATTTTTCTCTGTATTTTCTCAAGAAACGGAAAGCATTGTGGTTACCAAAGTCTTCAAACTGAATAAGGGTATTCTGGCCATACCTAGAAGACAAAAATGGAATGGTTGTGCTACAAAAAGGCACACATTTTCAAAGTACTTTAACATTCGTTGCAATGCAGCTGCATAGATGCCTTGGCGCAGCATCTCCCTAAGTAAGCAGAAGCGTTATCAGTGTCATTACAGTGTAGACTTGGGACTAGTGACTTAGCAGTTGAGTTCAGGGTCTATGGAACCTACCCATGTAACGTAAGTATGGCCCTATGCTTACTAGCAGCAGAACTTCAATTGCTTTAAGACCTGTTCCTCAACCTCCTAAATGTAGATGGAAGAGACCCCCAGGGCCTCTGTTTGCTGAGCACATCATTTGTCACAGACCTACACCCCATCATCAACTATAAAGATTGCTATAATACACAGGTGACAAGACTGATCAACAAATGAGGAAGGCTCCAGGTCAATTTTTGTCTCTGCCATGACCACACTGGAGGGCCTTAGGCAAGCTACATTCTCTCAGTCTCAGCCCTCCCATCAGCAATCTATAATCAAGGGTATTATAGAGTATTATCAGGGTTACAGAGCACAGGAGAATAGTAAGAATTACAACCAGAAAATGCAAGCAAGCAGTTTGGGCAACTGAAACTCCTATACAAGTATTAAGAAGACCTTGTTATTATGGCAAATGTGCATCAAAAGAATAGTAGCTTTTGCTTGCTTAGCTGTAATCATCTTATGACCTAACATCACAACCTCAAAAAATAAATTCCCCCTTTTTTTGGATTACAATTCCCATACTCCTCAAGCAAATACAGCCAATTTGCTGTAGGATTCTGAAACTTATAGTTCAAAGCAGTGTCATATCAGCCTGTTTCACAGGGCCGTCACCAGCCTGGAAGAAAACTGTATGTGAAATAATATCAGCACTTAAGAGTTTCTTTGACTGTTTCCCCAAGTGTCACTGTTGTATCAGTCTTGAGCCCAATACATTCATCTACTCAGTCTTGTTCGGTCACCCACACAAAGCATCACTGCTCAAGCTTGTAGACACTCCTTGCACATTTTGAGGGGGCACAATCCTTTCAGGGTTTATACCTGCCTACAATGGCTTCCATGAACTCATCAATGAGATCATCATAAAGCTGTGAACGGTCTCGCTTCTGGTAGAGTCCCATGTAAAACGGATCCTGCAGAAGTGCCTAAGAGAAGAATGAAAGGAAGCCATCGGATCAAAACTGCAGCACACGGTGTTATAAAATCTTATGCCATTCCCATGAAATATGACCATCTGCAGAACACACCAAATAGCCCAAACTGTACTTTACGAATATAATCATCCTTGGAAAAAGAATTTTAAAAAATTACACATGAATAGTGATGGAGTTCTCAGTTTAAAAATCACGGTTCATTCTCTTCTGTTTTGTTTGCATGGGCACTGAAACTGGAAACAAGGAACAAGAGAAGATCTTTGCAGGCACCTCTTCATGTGTAGCGTGAAACTTGTGAGGGACGGACGGACATGAAAGCTGTGCATTCTAGTAACTCCATATGCTGAGTGCAGAAATCTCAAGGGGACTTCGCAGAGTTCAGCAGAGTTCTCGGTTTACATGATAGAACAGGGGTCTCAAACATGCATGGGCACTGAAACTGGAAACAAGGAAGAAGAGAAGATATTTGCAGGCACCTCTTCATGTGTAGGGTGAAACTTGTGAGGGACGGACAGACATGAAAGCTGTGTATTCTAGTAACTCCATGTGCTGAGTGCAGAAATCTG